AAACGTGCTGAGATTGAACTTTCTTCCCTTTCATTGTTTTAGTGTTTCAGTATGTTGGAGCTCCCTGCTGCAGGTCCACCTGAGTCAGAGTGTCATGGAGACATTCATGATCTGATCAGCCTATGAATGACTGGCTGTTTAAACCAATCAGGAGAGTGCTGCGTCTGAAGGCTGAGGCCTTAAAACAGTTAACTTTCTTGCATTTGTATTAAGCTGTGTGGGTGATAATTGATTTTTAAGCAAAAGAGTTAAGTCCCTATTTTAAAATATATTTCAATCAGTGCTCCCACTTAGCTGATGGTTTTCAGTTGGAAAACCATCATTGTTGGCTGCAGCTGAGTGTGAGGTGACTGGCATGGTGATCGTGTCATGATTCTCAAGTGGAAACGTGCAGAGTACCCACTTCTAACTGGGTAAAAGATGTTGTTTCAAGTGAAGTTTTAGGGAAATCGGAGCAGAAACTTATCAGACAGACTGGTGCAGCATGTGAAGTGGGGGGGGACTCTGCGCCACTCTGTGGTGCTGAAGAGAGAGCTGTGCTTACCATTGGAAAGAAAATGGGCCCTAGACCTGGAAGTTGCAGCTGGACTGGACATCTCTCTTAAGGGGAGCTAGCTTAACTACCACTCAGTAAATGTGTTGTTTCTCTCGTTTTGTGGTTGTGTCCTGTTGACAAATGCTGGGACAAAGCTGAGGAAGACAGCATTTTTTTTATCATGTAGGATGAGTTTGCTATTGGTTTACGGCTGTTGGTTTACCTGCTCAGGTTCAGGTTGCGTGTGCGTGTCCATAGTTCAGCTGACCTTCGCCCTGCCAGGCTAAGTAAACAGTCTTCCAGCCAACCCAGGTGGCCTTGCATGGAATGGGAAGGAACAGACTAAACACAGTCGTTATCAGGGTGTTTTGTTCAGCTCTGGCCTTGCAGTTGGCGCCAGAGGGGTATCCGCATAAGTGATGGTATTTTTTACTTTAGTGCGAACAGCTCATATGAATTTCGAAGCAGTTCTGCAGTCCAACACTGGTCTCTCAATCTCCCGTTGGAGAGCCGTGAGCTTGCGTTCTGTGATGTTGTCATTTCTTGTGCTCAAGCAGCCAATTTCTGAGAACTCACGGCAGTGTGCCTCCCCGAGATGTCATCCGATGAAGTATGAAGCTGTTAGAACCCACATTAACCCACATGCCACACTACTGCCTGGAAGTGGTAAAGTTTTAGTTCCTGTGCGACATTAAGGGGATTTGTTTTCGGTTTTGGTTTTGTTTGTGTTTTTCAGACGTCACACTGACTGAAGTCACCATGTAAAGTAGGAAGTGTAGAGCACTTCTGTGTCAGAGTCCATCAGAGCTGAGCTGCTTTCAGACGACTCCGTCTTGTTGTGGATGCTGAAGCTGATCATGGTTCTCCTGTGGATGATCCTGTTGGTGCTTCTGCTCTGTGCAGAGGCCGAGAACGTGACCGAGGTCAGAGGAGAGCTGGGGACCAATGTCACTCTAACCTGCTCCAATCAGACATCAGACCCACACTGGTACATGGAGATCCACAGTCAGTTCAGAGCAGGTATCGGCCGCAGTTTTTCCTCAGCAGGCTCTACCTACTGCTCTCCTGGTTTTGAAACCAAGTTCTCAATCACGGGAAACAAACTGATAATTAAAAACTTGACAGCAGAGGACTGCAGGCTTTACTTCTGTGGCATCAAGAGAGATGGCAGCATTCATTTTGTGGAGACTTTCCACCTCGTCTCAAGTAAGTAGCCAAGTTTTTTTTTGTGTTGTTTTGTTTTTTTTTTGCTTATTGCTGTAAAACATATGAACATATGACTAACAAATGATTAGTTAGTTCTCAGGCTTTATGACGTATTTGCAGAAAAGCAGGTTTTGAGCAGGCTAACAGGATTTCTCTTTTCTGTTTTGCATGTTTTAACTTGTTATCTATTACCACGTTCTTTACTTTTTGCATTCACTCTGTTCTCATGTCTGACCTTCATAGTCATTAGTATTAGTAAGTGTGAGAATGAATGCAAACGGAATGAGATCATGTGTTATTTTTTTCACATCCAAACTTCCCACCATTTGTTTTGACTCAAACTCTCCTCTGTGAAGGTCCAGCGTGGTGGGTTTTAACATGTCCTGAGATACTGTAAAAGAAAACTTTGGCAGTTAAAACCTAACAAGTAATAACTCAACTTGTGAGCTTGATATATTTTTCTTTTTCCTTTTTTGGAACACTGGGTACAAAAAAGTTCCTTGCAGCTTCAAGGTTGGATTTCATAAGGCAAACTGCTGCACCTATTCTGATTTCCTTGATTTCTTGAGTGAAAGCGATCCTTTCTTTGGATAAAAAGAATAAAAAGAAATTAATAATTAACACAAAAACCCCAGCAGAGCAATAAGATGGTGTATTGATACAGGTAACTAGATGGGTTTTTTGTTGTTGTTGTTGTTTAAAGAAATAAGAGTTTTTTCTATCATGGCTGTATACTACCTTATATATCTGATATATGAAAAGTATGTTTTTCAATGAAAATTTATAGATGGTGGGCGTGTTTCAAGTTGCTGATTTGTAACTATAACATGTTCTCAGTTGATCTTTTTGCCTCTTTGTTTCCAGATGTCATTGTTCCTCCCAACGACCCACAGAACGACTGCTATAAGAGTCACCTCATCATCATCTGTGTCTCAGAATGACAAAGGCAGCCACTAATAATCAGTGAGTGTGTCACAGTAGATAAATTTAGCACATTTTCTAACTTCAGATCACAGTATCTAATGTTTGAATAGATGTTTCTGGCAGCACATATTAGAAGTGTTGGTCAAACTTCAGTCCGTATTTCTTTTAATCATTTTGCACTTTGACCAATCACTCTTACAAGTGAGGAAGCAGCTTTATACTGTCAGCGACTGCACAGAAATCTGTGTATTATAAGAATATATCTGGATCTGTACATCTGGATAAACAAGAAGTGACTCACAGCTCTGTTGGCAGGTTTTGTCATCATATTGCTGTGCTTGAAGAGGAGAAAATGCTACGACTGATGCTTCAGGTCACATCTGTAATGCTACAGAGCTACTGCGGGCTGTGCAGGTAAGTAAAAACTGTGACTGCTAACAAAACTGATGCTGTGTGTGCTGCATAAACCATGACTACTGACAGTACTGGTACTAGGATCACTCTCTATAATGTTTAAAAAATGTTCGGCTGCTATGATGAACATTAACAGGCATTAAGTCGTAATGACAAAATGGAAATATGCATGTGATGTCTTCTGAAATTAATAGAATCTAAAACAGCTTTGTTCATTTAAGATTCCTGGTCATTTATGTTTGCTGCTTCAGATCATCCAGGTGTGCGTTATCACAGTCATACAGTTTTCCCAAGACAGGACGTTCCAACAAATTCACCCCAGTCCACCATGCAATAGTATCCTCCTCTGTCACACTGATCTTCTCTGAGGTCTTCTTCTTTTCCTCTTTTACTGCCTGGCAGCTCCATATTTAACATAATTTGTCCAATATATCTACTACCCATCCTCTATGTGCGCCCAAAACATCTCAGCCTTGTCTCTATAACTTTTGATTTACCCCATTATTAATGTTTTCATGTGCATTTGGATGAGCTGCATCAGGGACAAACATAATCAAAGTAATGCGACATCACAGCCTCTCTAGCTTTAGCTCCAAACCGCTCAGCCTGAACTGTCCCTCTGATATACTCATTTCTCAGCCATCATCTCCCAACTGTACATCAGCAGGTCTCACTGTGGTTGGGTTAAAGTCATACAGAAATGGTTACTTCAAATTATTGCTCCTAAAGTTGCTTCTGTGAGCTATTAAATCATGAATTATATTTAGTTTTTCACAAAACTCCTTCCAGCTTCCAGTGGGCTCAGCAAACACTTTTCTGGTGGGTTTATGGCCTCAGGAGCTCCTTTCAGGTCTTACTGAATAAAACATGATGTTCATTTAGGAAGTCATGGTAACATTAGTGCAGAAAGAATGAAAAGCAGGGCATAACTTAGGGCAGGGCTGGTGCCTTACTCAATTGTGAGGTATGGTTTCTTCAGGAACACCAGTGTTTTGGCACGAAAAACATGATGATCAAGTCAAATGAATGAGATGAACCAGGGTCAAAATATTATCTTCAAAGCCAAAGTGAAGCAGCAAAAACCTCATTTTTCCTAATATAGACTTGAGTCTGGCTCTAAAAAAGACAGTTGCCCACAGACCCACATGTTAAAATGCTAAAAAGTTTTGATCTCTATAGCTATTTTACTCCTTCAGTGTTGCTGCTAACGCTGCAAAGACTATCACTGTAGCTATTAAAAGTTACAGTGATAGTAGTAATACTATCTAATAGTACTACTTGTACTACCCTGTACTGATTACTCATTTTCTGTTTCAGGGTAGGCGACCCTCTTTCAGCAAGACATCACGGGATTTGATTCATTCATTTCATTTTTTCATGTGTAGTATCAGTACACAGTATATTTCATGATTTGTTGTAACAGTATTAAAAAGTAATTTGTCTGCTTCCACTTTGTTTCACTGTTTAATAAAAATTACATTTATTACAATGTAATATTTGTTCTTTTAATCCATATTTCTAATGTATTTCTTGACCGTGGGAACATTTAAGAAGATCAGAAGACACCGTACAATTTAAAATGAGCCTTTTATGTCATGTAGCAGCCAGTCCAAAAAACAAAACAAAAAAGCTGTTACTTTAAACATGTCACTGTCATCTCTGGTACAATGATTTTGCTGTTAAAGTTGCTGTTGTTCTCATTACTAGCGTCACTACTGCAGTATTGTCATTAAATCATTGAGCTGCAGAAAACAGTTGAATATCTCTAATACTAAACCAAGCTACTGAGTTTAAGCAAGGGTCAATGTAATTCTACTTCCTGAGCGCTTGTTCGTTTTTGTGGTTTTTAAAAAAAATCTGATGTCATATCAAGTGACCATCTGAAAAAGGAAGTGTAGAGCACTTCCCTCTTAGAATCACATCAGAGCTGAGCTGCTTTCAGACGACTCCGTCTTGTTGTGGATGCTGAAGCTGATCATGGTTCTCCTGTGGATGATCCTGTTGGTGCTTCTGCTCTGTGCAGAGGCCAAGAACGTGACCGAGGTCAGAGGAGAGCTGGGGACCGATGTCACTCTAACCTGCTCCAATCAGACATCAGACAGATACTGGTACATGGAGATCCACAGTCAGTTCAGAGCAGGTATTGGCCGCAGTTTTTCTTCAGCAGGCTCTACCTACTGCTCTCCTGGTTTTGAATCCAAATTCTCAATCCTGGGAAACAAACTTGTGATTAAAAACTATACAGCAGAGGACTGCAGGCTTTACTTCTGTGGCATCAAGAGAGATGGCAGCATTCATTTTGTGGAGACTTTCCACCTTTTGTTAGGTAAGTACCCAACTTTCAATTTACTTTATTGCTGCAAAACAAATTAGTTGGTGTTCAGATCGCATGATGTATTTGTAGAAATGCACATTTTGAGCTGTCTAACAGGAGTTTTGACTGTTTCAACATGTTTAGGAAAGCTGTGACCACATTCTTGCAGTAATGTGGGATGTATGTGAATATTTGTTCTTAACCTCTAACAATACCATTGGGCTATGGTGACAGTCTTTTAAGCCCATGTGCATGTGAGCATGGATAGACTCGTGGTATATGGCAATAAACACACATGTAAAATGGAAAATATGGCAAATGTGTTTGTTAACAATAAAATAAAATTGAGGGGCAAAAAGAGTTTTGTCTTCTTCATCAATACAGCAGTTATGCAACAGGAAAAAAAACTGATAATACTCAATAAGTAAAGCATTGTTTTACAATTATGGTGGCGATGAGGCTGAACAAGTGGTCTGTTTGTGGAAACGTCTACTTTTCATAAATCATCTTAATCTGGTCAACAGACATAAAACTTGTCTATAATCTACTGACTTGTGCTTTACTGATTACTTTGAGGTCACCATTGGATCTAGCTGGAGGTGAGGGTTTCAGTAGTATTGTAGTCATATGGTTCCTGATTCAGAATAATTTGACTTTGATGACCATTCTGTTGAAAATTATGAAATCAATACGTTGAGAAATGAGCTCAAGTGCTACATTGTCCCCGCCCCCACAACCAATAGACAGCAGAAACTAAAAATTGGCCCTTCTTTCAAATGCCTCCACTAAAAAAGCATCAGAAGAGCTATTCTGCCGAATACTGCTGTCGTCACAGATGGTGTGAAAGTGTGCTTGACCATTGGTGTCTTGGCTCCATGGTAATACTAAACACAAATAAAAAAAATAAAAAAAAACAGTCCTCTTTAGTCAAATTAGGATGAGTGGCGAGGAACTCGTGTCCCATTTGCTTTGTGTTTGTACTTCATGTGTGAGCATTAGATCAGGGCACCAACACCAGAAGACATCTCGTGCATATCTAAATAAGAACGAGTTGTATACTTACAGTTGGTAGGTAGCTGACGTTCTTGTTCGTGTGTCAATTAAATATTTTCCTTTTCTCTACATTTAAGTTGCCTCAGAAATCAAAGTTAATTTAACTTGTTAGTACCTTAGTTTGGATCACTGGTTGTGATTGGAGATGTGAATCTTCTGCACTGTTTTCAGAATAATTTGTCAACAAAATGCCCCGATTGGAAACTTTAATTATCATAACTGTAACGGTTCTAAAGAAATAAAACAATACTTTTTTTTTCTTTTTTTCCATTGATTATCTCTCCTTTGTTCCTCTTTCATCTTTCTCCAGATGCCTCCAACAGCAACCTGCTGAAGGACTGCATCATGACTCAGTTCATCCTCATGATATCCGTCTCAGTTGCCGCTGTCATCATCCTGATAATGGGTGAGTGTGAGTGGAGATAAGTTTAGGAGATTCTGGTCTGAACTGTAAATACCGACATCCACTACTGGACGAGCCACACTATTCACCGATGAACACGACCCAAATTTATCTATCACAGCGTTCACTGGAGCTTTAAAAGCTGGTAATTTAAAAAAATAATAAAATAAAATGAAAAATGACTTACTGACATCTGTACTAAAGGAACAGTTAGGACACGAATACATGAGCTCAGCTACATGCTCTGTCCTCATATTGTGACCTCTGGTTTGGTAATATTTGCACAGACTTTTTGAGAAGAGCATACTAATAGTGTTAGTCACATTTAACCTGAGGCTTGTCGCCCATGATTAATTAATTTCAGTGCTCTGATGTGTTTTATGTATTTTTAAACATGATTCTATCTTTTCAAACACACTAAAGTTTGATATTTTAAGTATTTTCTGATTAACTTTGATCAAAAAGTTCTTTTAATATCAGGAAAAAGAGCCTCTACAAGAACACCCACATCCTTCATTGACTGAATCACAATCATAACACAATTTCTGATCTTTCATTAATGTCTGTTGTTAATCGACTGATCTGTTGCCCAGCAACCATTAGTAAATAGTAGAAATAACTGCTAGATAGTTTTTGTACACTATTTTCCTTATTTAGTTCTTTAACATAATATAATATAATATTTTTTTTTTCTTTCGAATATATCTCTAATTTAGGTTTTCTTGCTGAACCCTAATCGTCTGTGAATTTCCCCAGAATCAGAATCAGAATGGGTTTATTGCCAGATGTTGAGGTTTACAACATTAGGAATTTGCTGCGGTGCTTCAGTGCAAACAATAAGAATTAAAGTGCTATGTAGAAAGAAAGATATCTGCATGAGATATACATGTGATATATACATGAGAATAAGAATTATGAGTGCTACGTAGAAAGATATATACATGAGTGCAGGTGGTGATCAGTGCCAGACATGAAATGATGCAATGACACAGCGTAGGGATTAGTAAGTGTGGGATTAGTAAGTTTATGTCTAGGAAAATGATGATGAGTCCATCATTTATAATTTGTGCCAATCCAAATCACTTAAAAAAGTATGTCAACAACATTCACCTTAGTGAACAATGCTGATCAAACGGAGTTCTTGTAGTTTGTATTTTTGACGTGGGTTTTATTTTTGATTTTGAGTTTTTGATTTCAAGTCAGTAAAGCTTCAGTTTGTTTGTTTTCTCTCATTTCAGTTTAGCTTTTCTAAGTTTCAGTTTTACTTTTAGTTCCCTTAAATATTGTGATATAGAGGACATTTATCATGGGATTTTCAGAACTTCAGAATAAACATTACAACCCAACCGCTCTCTGAAAAGCCAGTTAGTCATGTAGACACCCTGAGTCTCAGTGAAAAGATGAGACAAACCTCTTCAGAGAGGAAGTGTGGACAAAGATGTTCAAATTGACAAATAACCTGTATATTTTTGTTTTATTTTAGTGTTTCAGTAATTTTCTTTTGCTTGAATATCTTATTTGATTTATTTTGTTGTTGTTTTTTTATTTTACTTGACTAAATCATTTTGAGAATAGCAGCAGTATTCAGACCGGATCATATTCTTACATTCATTATGAGACATTCTGTCCTGACTGTGAGTTTGAAGGTGGAGTGACTCAATGATCTGTTGGCAGGTGGGGTTTTGGTACTGCTGTGTTCGAGGAAGAACAAAAGCAGCAAACAGGTGGAAGAGCCTTCAGCTCACATCTACGAGAACGCAGAAACACTGTGGGCTATTCAGGTAAACAAACCTTCCACTGTTACTGACAGAACTGATACTGTGAGTTTTAATTTGGCATTACAAATATTTTTCTAGCAACTCCACAATCCTATATATCTGTATATATATAACACAGAAGAGGATATCACATTACAATGCTGTGTCACAATATAAAATAGCATCATACTATAACAATCATAGTGTATGTGAATAGGTTTGTACGCTGTCTGCTTCCCATGGACAGTGTGTGGGTTTGCTACTCTAGTCAATTTAAACTGTATGAAGTCTTCATGGCCTTGAGTTTGCTCCATGTCCACACAGTTAGATGTAGCTGGCACCATTTAACCACACTTCAGACCGATTATGATCAGTTCAAAACACAGATACTAGTGCTGAAAATGTTCATTTTAGGCCTTCAACAAGGAACTTAACTAACCAGCCGTAGAGGTCAACGCATTATCTTTTTGAGCTGTGTAGCACTTTTCTACTCTGAGCACCCATAATGCATAGAATCTGCTGAGCCACAGTCACCCTAACATCTCTAAAAACTGTTTTATGTTTGCATCTGGTGATGACGCTGCTATTGGTACCTATGATATCAATACCACTGCTTAAAGTGCTAACACAATATTGCTTCTTCCCTATACTTATGTTGTGTTTCAGGGCAAGGTGATCCAGCCCTACCGAGCAAGACATCACTGAACGAGTTCTTTCAGACGCTACAAGACTTCATTTGTTGTATTTCATTGAAAAACATACAAACGTTTGCGCACGTTTCTTCTCTGCAGCAAATACATTAATTTTTTGTTAGTGCTGTCAGCGTTAATCTTGTTAAAATTATGTTAACGCCATAACCGCGTTAACACGACAAATCTGCATTAGCGAGTTAATGCGGATCGCCCCATGCTTGGGGCTGCGCAGTGTCAACGCATAGATTTGCCACGTCAATGCGGTTATGGCGCTAACGTCATTTTAACGAGATTAACGCTGACAGCACTACATTTTGTGTATTATCAGGCTTGTTGGAAGACATCTGTCCACTTCAGATGTAAAACTTTCAAATCATATGGAAAGTTGTGTATCTTAAGCTGTCAAACGCTGTCAAGCTGGAATCTGAAAGCAGACAATGGTTCAAACTTTAAGGGTTAATTTTGCAGTATTAGTATAAGGTGGAGGCAATAACAGTATTTATGATAGTAACAGAAATTTTACATAGGTAGTAGTTTTTGTTAAAGTTCTTGAAAATGGAATAGTAACCTATTAATAGATGTAGTGAAGTCTACGTTTGTGGTAGAATAACAGTAAGGATTATGGGTAGTTTTTGCAGGACCTGTACATTTTATAGCTTTACTGTCAGACAGGATGGGGTTAGTGGGTAAAACATTTCCTGGCTTCTTCTTTTCTGCAAAGATTCTGGCAACGCCTGAAGAAAAAATAGAAAAGAGGAAATAATTGGATGTGCTAATTTTACAAACGTTTCCAGGAAATATGGCTACTCCGCATGATTTCACCATTAAAATCCTAGTGTCATCACTTCTTCTGCACACAACAACGTCTTTGTGTTACACCAGCTGATTGTATTGGCTGGTTCGTCAGACCCACTGAGATATCTGACGTACTACATCTTTTGGTGTGCAGCTGATCACTTATGTAACAGATGGTCACTACAGTCATGTGTAAAAAGTAGACTTTTGCCTTGAATAAGAGTTTATAACTCTGTCAGGCTGGAGATGGAGGGCAGACCTTTTTTCTTATTTGACTGTTTCAGACGTTTTACTAGCAGCAACAGTAACTACTGTACTGTTTGTACTTCTGCTTTTAGTTTTCTCTTATTGTTAGCAACATAGATGGTAGTAGGATTTTTAATGATTAACTTATTAATAGATATAGTAAAGGCTGCCCTAGAAGTAGTAGCCCCTTGGTTAACGGTAGTTGTACAGGACCTGTAAAACCATGCAGATAGTACAAGATGGAGTTTGTCTTTGACTCATTTGTCTGTTTCCACTTGTTTGTTTCACTGTGTAATTTTTTACTTTTTACTTAATTTTAATTTATATTTAACTGACTTTTTTAAATTTTCAAGTCACTTTCTTTTCAGTATCAGCTATGAGCTGTTGTTAAGGGAAGATTTACAATGTTCAGAAAATACATTACGATCCGAGCAGAACTTCATTTTTTTCATTTTATTTCAATTTGTATTTTAAGTTCAGTTTAATGTCATTCCTCTGTGATTTACCATCTCAACACTTACATTTCCTCTCACTAATAACATGTGTGATACATATATATGATGCAGAGTAGTTTGCAAAGAAATCCTTAATAATGGAGAGCTCCTGTAATGTCTAATTTATTAAAACAGGTTCAGACTGCACCAGCGTCTCTGAGAAATTAACTGACTGAATGAATGCACAAAGTTTAACCAGTTTTGCTGTAAATATTACCAGTTAGTCATGCAACCCTTTTAATTACATTTTTTAATTGTATACATCAAGATTAATGCTTGAACTACTGAGTTTTGTTTTGTTTTTGTTTTTTGAGATACATGATGACAGGAAATCCAAATTACAAGCACCTGATTTCACAGAGCGTGACGCACTGCCTGAAATTAAACAGCATAGAAAGTATTTAAAGTGAGCTCAGGCTTAAACATCTGCAGCAGTAATATTAATCATATTAATATTTTAATAATCCATGAAATCCATTTGATAATAATTCACAATATACAGCTACAGTTACATGTGTAGTGGGGCTTTCATAGGATTTTTTTTTTGTTACTTTTTCTTAAAATAATCCTCTACCTTTTGACTGTCATGGATTTGCAGTGTAGCAGGCAGGATGTAGGACTGATAAAAAAAAGGGTGAACTGAAAGAGGCAGCTTTATGTTGGCTGTAAATGACTCTTCACACATACAGGAAAGAAAACCAAAAGCAAGGAACTAGAAATATGAACTTAAATCAAAACACAATTAAACTTGGACACTAAGGAACTAAACTGGGAAACAGAGAGCTAGAAAACTACGAGGAGCACGGAGGAAAAAACACACAGCAAAGAGAATGCCCACAAAGGTTACAGACATGACAACAAGCAGGGGAAGACTGAGGACTAACATACACAGGCCGGCTAACGAGAGGATGGGGAACAGGAAGCACACATGTGGGACTAATTGATGTGATGAGACAGGGGAAAAGCAAAACTCAAAAACACTGAACACTGGAGTAGCAAAGTAACACAGGAAGCATGACAGATAGACGTGGACGTGATACTGAGACATAGAAACATGACAGACAGTGGGAACAGTGGGGACATGAAGCACAGAGACAAAAGTAACAATACCCAGGACACAGGAAAGACATAGAGACAAAACTAAGCCTGGGCATAAAACACTGAGAACAGAAACTTAGAAACCAGGAACTGTATAATACAAAACTTAAAAAGTATAACTAAACCCAAAAAACACAAACACTGGGTAGTCAGACCCAGTGCCCTGTCATTGACATTGTCTGCTAGTGGCAAATTTTAAGGTGATCACTAGAGAAGTGACAGATTTTACAGTTTGTCAGCCAAGGAAGGAGTGCAGCAAGCTTTCATGTTTCTCTTGCTTTCTTTCATGTAAAAGTTTGTTCCTCATTTCTTCTTTTACTTCCTATAAAGGTTATTGCATGCCACTGGTAGTACCAAAGGGTGCACGCTTGTGTTTTATTTTGTAGCAGTATTATGGTACTCTTTACATTACTTAAAGTGTCAGATCACATAACAATTGGACTCAATATTACATTTTCAAATAAAAACTATAGTTAAATGTATAGAAATGTGATTTTTTTTCTCGGACCACACATTTTGGTCTAGATTCCCCCCAAAAAGAGAGACATTTTTCAAAAATCAGGCGGTCTGTCCTTCAAGCGCAAGTCCTGTACCAAAGACCTTACACCTTCCTCCATCTCTTCCCCCTGAGCTTCTCCAAAGCAACGAGGGACAGCGATGGCTTGCCACTAGTTGTTAACCTTCACTAAAGCTGTTTGTGTACTGTGATGAGCTCTGAAACCTGATTAGAACTCAGTAAGCAGTTTTATAACTACTCTTTCAAGACATTTTGAGATGAAAGTAAGGTTAAAGATTGGCCTGTAATTGGCCAAGATGGCTGTTTCAAAGTGATGGCATTTTAAGAAATTATTTAATTATTGCCAGCTTTAACTACCGTGGCACATAGCCCCTTAATAGATATAGTATTTATGATTGAAGCATTAATTAATGGTGGAACTTCATTGAGCAGTCTTGTCTTGAGTTCTCCTGCTGAGTACATCTGCACTGGATAGCGATGCACCGTAGCTCCTTTACAAAATTCTCTCCATTAACCCTTTATATCAGCTAAACCAAGTTTAAACCAACCAAAAAAATGCACATGCCAAATTTATTTACAGAGCAAATTCCATTACATGTAATGTGTGCACCAAGAGATAAAAACATAAGAAACTATATACAGTAGGTCCACAGTGTCTCACTGTAAATAAAAAACAAAGAAGTAAAAGCAATACAAATTAGCATACACACACACACACATGCGCGCACAAAAGCAGACAGCTATTATGTCTGTACCCTGGTAAGACACAACATGGCAGCTACAAGGACTCTTTCATTTATTAAGACCATCAGTGTGTATTGCTCTAAATCAAGTATATAATATTAAATGAATATTGCTGGATCAGCTACTTCTACTTAAAACATATTAGAACATGACTAAGCACAAAATCACCAAGAATAACATCTTATAAGTGCTGCGTAAGCGCGTGCGGCCTTCCAAGCTCAAAGCCTTTGCCCTCCATAGATCAGCCAGACTCGCGCTGGCTGTAACTTTTAACTTTTAATTAACTTGAGCACAACTCTAGAATAAGCAACAAACTGCAATGTGTATGGAATGATCATGGTTACATCTGCAATGGAAAATCATGTTATTATTCTGGTACCTGTAAGGAAAAAATCAAACTAAAGTTATCACCATCACTGTAATGCAAAGGATAATATAGGGTCAAAAACTTCAATTTATGTTTAATGCAAAGCTGGTTATATACTTCTGATGAACTAATAATGCCATATTAAAATAATGAATGATGATGAGAAAAACATCCCCTCCTTATTCTACATAAGCCTATGATAACTAAAGGGTTTTGAGTCTGTTTCTAAGTGTATGAGTAGATGTGTGGACTCAGGTCAGCAGACAGCTGGAGTAATATGGTCAGATTTCCATGTTTGTGGAAGCTCTTTCTTAGTGCCTACACATACTGCTGCTGCTGCTGAATCCTGAAATAGAGCATCACAGTTTTCCCAATTTCTCAGAGCCCTTGTCAGATCAGACTTTTACATTATAGAAAACAGTTCTGGTAACTTTGTTGATGTTTTTTGTAAAAATCCAGATCTTTGACCAAAATAAGGCCAAGATTCCTGACTTGCTCACTGTGCTTCTGAGACAGGGATGATTAATATGAATCTCTCTGACTGTTTGGATCAGCAAATATGAATACAACTGTGTATCTTCTGCATTAGAGTGGCAGGCTTTATTTTGATTCTTCTTGACAGTATCAATTTAGAGCAATGAAAAAATTGACGAGTCAAGAATTGACCCCCAGTGAACTTCTGATTAAATGTTTATTCAAATCAGTATCAGGGCAAGAGGTGTACCAGACATACCAATCTACCATGTGCATTTCAAGGTTAGCCTCCACAAAACATCAAATACACACACATGCTGAAGTTACAGTAATCTGCTGGTACTGCTGGTA